CAAAGACACCTAGCCTGAAAATATAATGGACACTTCGCTTATCGCGGCGACAGGTCTTTAACAAATCAACATATGAGGTATCGGACAGCTAGCAAACGCTCTCCACTGCCACTGAGAATGGTGCTTGAAAACAAGCCACCTAACATTAGTACAAAAAGTGAAGTCATTTATTCAAATGACCACAGTGTCAGAAATAGCCTTAGCGAGTGACAAGTGTGTGTGCGCAAATTGCGGAAAGAAACACGTTTTCTTCTTCATTTATGCAAAGTGACACACCTCCTTCGTTCTTTTTAGCCAATCGGAGCGTTTAGCGATGCACAAAGCAACACAGTCAAGGAGAGAACCATATTATTTCAGAACAGGATATTACGCAAAGTTCCACTATCAGAAAATACTTTCGAAATAGGAATTTCGAAAGCAGTGAACAAACGGTGCCAAGCATCCTGCAAAGGCTATTAACAAGGAAAACAATGAATCTGAAAGCAAATAAATATATCCTGTGGTCCTGACACACAGGAAAAAACAACAGGCTGAGCATAGACACAGGTGTTTATTTTACCTCAGCACATAAGCTGACATAAGCGACATAACCGCTCTGACTTAAAGAAACGCTGACCCCAAAAAAGAAAAAAAATTGCAATAAACACTCAATACAAATTCAGCTAACTAATGTTTCTTTTCTGTCTTTTTTGTACTGTTTTGTTCCAGTGTGAGGTGAAAGTTTTGTCCAGTAATATTTGTAACATATACCTCACGTGCAAATCAATGAAACTGCCTGCATGAAATTAGTACACACCTCTACATTTTAAGCAAAAGAAAAAGTGCCGGTGGAGAGTGGCTAGGATCAGGTGACCTGACTGCAAGTGGTTTAATGTACAAGCCTATGACTGGGGACGAGGCTCACAAATAATGGTCAGAATACATCTAAAATCAGAATACAGATTCAGCCACAGTAACAGTTAAAAGAAACAAAACACAGTGGAAACGGCTAACGGAAAAGTTGGCAAGAATTTGTAGGCCAAGGCTGGACTCCGTGTGACTGCTGTGCCGAGCTAAATTGCGATGAATGCGGCAACAGCACAGCAATGGCACGGCAATAGCTCGGCACTTCTGTGAAACGCTGCCCTTAAAGTAATCAGTGTCCTGTCATTGCCATTTGAAACGACGATAGTGCGGCATACCGAGCAAAAAAGGCTTGCCCTGCTGAATTCAATTTGCCAAGTTGAATCGCGCTAAACGCCATTATAGCTGGGTCAAACTTTAAAAAAAAAATGAGTTATTCGAGTGCGGCACGGCATTCACAAGGTGTATAGCCTAGGCCTTATTAACCCCTTGATCATCTGCATATGGAAATGTAGTATCACACCTCAAACAGTTTATCGATACATTACGTTTCGCACTACTAAGTGAATCACGTCAGGTGATTTCGGCAATACACACTACAATTGCGTAGCTCCCCGCCCCCGTGGATAGCAATGCTCCTCCCCCTTAACATCCGTGAATAATATCTGTTTAGTTTGAGGGCGCTGTTTCGGCTGCCTGGTTTGTTCTGAATTTCCTCTGTGATTTTGTCTGTTAATAGTTTTACATTAGTACTGGTGATTACAAGTTTCTCCATAAATCTAGTCAGGGCAGAGCTGGTGGTGGTGTAGGAGTATTGTGTAAGTCCGGAATGAGAATACATACCACTCCTTCTGCTGCAGATGGACCATTTTTTGAACACATTGTGGTCGATGTCGACAGTTATGATAAATGTTTCTTGTTGATGGCTGTTTATTGGGCTCCAAATGTAGCCGTCAATACCTTTTTCATCTGATTTTTCCCAGCAGTTCTTGTCAGAAACATCTGATTTTGTAATAGTTGGAGACTTTAATATTCACATGGATCAGCCTCAAGTACATGATACGATTTTCTTTTATTAATTTTCTTAAGTCTTGCAAGTTGATTCATCATGTAATATCCCTAACCCATATTAAAGGTCATGTTTTGGATCTTGGTATTACTCATCAATCTGTCGACATTATCAAATCTGCAGATGTTTTTGATCCTGCTATTTCCTATCATTCACGGATAATGTGTTCTTTAGAAATCAGTAAGCCTGTGAGACCAGAGAGATTTGTGGCATTTAGGAGGATTAAAAACACAGACTGTAAACATTTTCGTCGAGGCATTTGTTGTTGTGCACTTTCGAAGTATTTGGATTACCTGACCATACTTGCAGCTTTTTACAGTTCGGAAGTAAGGTTGGTTCTTGACAAGCATGCTCCTGCTCAATCAAAGGTCGAATACACCATGGTTTACAGAGACCATTTGGAAGGAGAAATTAAGCGTAAAAACTGGAGCGTCGCTGGCGATGTACTCGACTCAGTGTTGACCGGGACATATAAAAATGCAATGTAATCACGTTGTGAAGATGATCAAGGATGCGAAAGTGCATTTTTATCAAAACTTAATCCACGAGAGCAGAGGTGATTGTCGTCAGAGTTTTCGTGTGATTGATAATTTGTTATGCCGTAAGTCAGTTCCCACACTTCCTACGTGCACGTCAGGAGTCTAGTTGGCAAATCGATTCGCTAATTTCTTTCAAGATAACATCAACCACTTACGGTGTGTGTGCAGTGTGGGTCACGAAACTTGAGCCTTCTGTTGGTCACGATCAGGGTCCATGAAGTGCTGAAGTAAATACGCCATGAAGAAATTATGTGCGTACAAGGCATAACGTGAACTAATAAGTAAGTCTGTTCCAGGTGTTTACAGTACCATTTAAGCGCACATCATTTTCCAGGACTAGTGACATACACCCTCTATTGACCGAGGGTGATCAAGCAGCAGTGTTTACAAACGGTAAGGCGCAAGAGCAGGACGCGACGGTACGAAATCAGGATGCAACCGCACGACAGCAGGACGCAACGGCCCTACCCAAACTGTGAAAAACGCACAAGCACGATTGGTCCCAGACTCGACCCTCGAACTTAGGTGAGGCCCACGGAATGTACTCACCACCTTATTATGCATGCCCTGTCGTTCACATGCAATTATGAATAACTACATATCAATGACGGGACCTGATATGCTTTTCCTCGAGAAGGAGATAAACTGCCTGCATGACACGAGCAGGGCTGTATCACTGAGATTGTTTCCGATTTGTGACTGAACTTTATGCTGGTATTGTATGAAGAGATCGCCCTGTTCTGAAATAACCTATTCAAAAATGTACAGAAAGGTATTTTCAGACGTCTTGGGTTTTCAAAATTTTGTTTGAACAAGACCTGTAATCGTCGAATGCACGAAACAAAATATATTCCAAGTACACGGAATAGGTTGCTAAATTTCCGCGCGTAACTTCGTCTGTTTTATCTGCCCATTCCCCCTCTAAACAAATCATTCAATCCTGTTATGAAAACTGCGTAGTTGGCCAAACTGGTTTGCATTTTGTGTGCTGCCGTGTGCGACCGAGTTTCCGGTGTACTCAGAAAAGTAGTACCGTTCGTGTTCGATTGTTTATTTTTATGTGTTGCGTCACTGCCACTACTAATCTAGCAATTTTGTAATCTGAAGCACTAAAAAATAAATTTGTCACATGAATTTCCTGCTTCGGTTTTTCGGTAATTTTCGGTTTATTTCTCTCTTTTTTTCACAATACAGATTAGTCTACCCGGCCGACCCAACCTGAAAACCACAAATACCAAATCGAAACCGACACTATCCAACCGAAGTGAAAATGATTTTTGTCTGGAAAATCGTTTGTTTAGAAAAAAAATGAACTAAAGAGACACATTGTAGCAAACTCGGGGCGAGTGATGATGCAAAACTAAGAATGAACCTGAAATGACTTTGTATGTATTTATATCTTATTACTTTCTTTTTTTGTGTCTATTGTTAAGTCTCGAATTAAAGTCCTCAACAAAGTAATTCTGTGACATTGTACGTGGGTAAGAGTACAAGTTATCGCGTATTTAAAATTGTCTTTGTCGATGTCGATATTTTACGATATTTGATATGGGTCGAGATTCTTAACCTTCCCATTGAGGCAATTTTTCAACTGTCATAAAGCAACATTATACTAAAGCCCTTTTTGAAGGGAATTTTTGAATAAGTTAATAATTTATAAAAGTATTTACATAGTTTGGCACTTTTCCCTACCAAGTGTTGCATAAGCGCTCAACTTTCAGAGGTCAATGTTCACGCTATATATTAAATGAACATCGTGATCTTTTGAGATTATTCTCTTGAAAAAAAAGGGAAAATTTGAGCCCAACTCCAGCTCACAAGGGACACTCACCGTGCAAGGAAGGACGCTCACCGCATCAGGAACGACATTTCCAACGCTGCTAATCCGCTTTCATGCCCTGCCAAACATGTCTCACAGTGCACTGCAATTAAACGACGCGCAGTTAAACGACTCTCATCTCTTGTTGAGGCAATTCAAATTGTCTTGGTGTTAAAAATTATCTTGTAATAAAATATGCATATATTACAAATGAGACAGTTTCAGTGAAATATGTGACCATGGCATAACAAAACATTTTTGGCTATTGTGACGGGGACCATGATCGGGGTCCGTTAGTTAATCCTCGGTTTCAGATGGAACACCCGTTTTTTCTTCGAGTGCCATTTGCTTCCTCATCAAGTATCCAAACCACCGTAACCCCTACACTGCAGGTAACAATTATTGTTAACTGTGCAGTGAACCTTGCAGTGAAACCACTATTATCGCACAGTGTAACAACACTCATCGCCCAATAGAACTGCTCTTGTCGCGCATTGAAAACAACTCACCGTGTGGGGAACAACTCTCACAACGCTGTGTATAACGTGGCCTTAATAGAACGACATACTGGAGTTAACGATATGGTATTATATCCTGGGGACAAACCCCAAATGTTGCAGTAATCACAATAATTTGGACTGTTTCTATATTTTACGCCAAAGTTCTTTTGCTTTGGTAAGTTATTGTCATCAGCACATGACAAATGTCAACGAGTAACCCTTTCTCAAGCGTTTCCATTTTACAAACCTTTACAGTTAACAAACTGAACAAAAAATTAACCTAAATTCCCTGTGTTGTCTGAATGCAAGGGCAGGTCAAATGTCTCCGAATGTCCACTTATTCAGTTCAAATCTAATCCCAGAAGGATAGCATAAAGTGCCACCAGAGTACGTTCCAGAAGGAAGTTTTGCAAGAACCCCCTGATAATGAACGCACACGAAACAGGAGTTTTGAAGTTTTATTTGGCAAGCTTGAGTTCAGTAAAAATTACTGCTCTGGCATTTCAGGAGAAGTCATTTTCTCTTGATCACGTTTTAGTCATTATAGCCAATCACATCGACTCTTGCAATGATCAATGCCAACTCAGCCTTCGAGCTATGTTCACGAGAAAGGTTTATAAGCGGGGGAACCTGTCACACTGTAACCGTAGTTCAAGGCTCAACACACCGAGAGATAACTGTTCATTACCAGTATGGGCAACCTGCGAATGCTCTCTGTTTTTTGTCTGGTCGTACTCGCCTCCGAGTTTGCAGCAGGATGCAGTCGCTACATGAGTTGTCCTCCGCTGTGGACCCTCTACGATGGCCACTGCTACCGTTTCTTCGGGATTCGGAAGACCTTCCAGGAAGCTGAGAGGCACTGTCAGCAGATTACTGAGGGAGTGGAGGGCCATCTTGTTTCCATTGCCTGTGAAGAGGAAGATGACCTGATGTTTGAGATGTGGGAGTCCTTAACAATGTCACCGACCGCCACCTCAGACTTGAACTCCGTATGGCTCGGCCTGACTGACACGTTGAACGAAGGGCAGTTTGTTTGGATCGACGGGGCCATCGTCACCTACACCGACTGGGGGGCAGTTGAACCGAATGACGCGGACAGCGGTGAAGACTGCGCCGCGTTGCGCTTTCACTCCACGCTTGGCCGATTTTGGAACGACCAGCCCTGCTCGACAGAGTTGCCGTATATCTGCAAGACGGCTGCCACATTAGGCCAATGAGCTCAAGTATGGATCGCAGTATCCGCTACGACACTGGACTGTCGAAGAAACAACAGCTCGATACTCTCTTGCAGTTCCATTTCAAGACTTATGTTAGCCAATGTCCGTTTATCTATTAGTACTGTGCAAATTAAACTGGCTTTAAAACATATGTTCGTTTCCTGGTGACGGGTTTAGTAACATCTTTATAAGCTTTTAAGTTTTACATCATTTAATTTTTGTCTTACTATTCCAACTACGGGGAACAAAGACATAATTAACTTGTCCTTCTGCTCTTGAAACAGAAGCTTTGACTAAGTATTGTCTTGAAATTGCAACAGCCCCGTAGCATTTTGTCTTTTTTAGAATCTTAGTTATCACATTCGAACGGTGTACGTACTTCAGTTGTTTGTGGAGACCCATTTACAAGGTAAAGGAAACCGGCATGTGGACTATTTCTCTTCTCTTTTTTATTTTGTTTTTAATCTGTTGAAGTATATGTGTGCTAGTTAAAGATTTGGACCCATATTTATGGCACTATCAGACTTTAAGTCAAGTGACCAAAAACAGAAGATTATCCTGTATTCATTTAAAAGTAAAGATTTACTTGACCTAAACTGTAAGAGCAAAGTAACCAACAACATTCTCGACTTCTGAAAGAACATCTTTAAACCCACCCTCAAGGCAACAATAAATTATCCATTTTTCCATGACACAATCATTTATTGCTGAGCAAATCAAACTTTCATTATATTCACTTCGTTTTAGCCTCATCTGCGTGTTGTTTTTCCCAGTTTGTTTCACATTAGAAGATTTAACTAATATCTGATTTCAAATCTGTAGATAAAACACCCATAGTATTGATGGTAATCATGGTAATATTCGCCTTGCGTTCGCTTTTCAAAAGAATAAAATTTGCAAATACTGGTGGATTTGAAGATAGGCAACATTGAATTACTTAGTTTTGCTATACAGTATTTTCAAAAAGAGCATTTAAGATCAACTTTTGCCCTGAATACATCTCAGAGTAAATATGAACTTTAAAACTTCTATTTAGAAGGTTTCCTAACTTTTGCAAAATGGTCAGCATTATGCTGAAAATGACTTACATGTGAATGAGTTGGATTTTTTGGCCCTGCCCGACATGTTAAGGAACGATGTATAGTCGGTGTACTCAGTGTTTTCCCGACAGCTTGTGAGAAATTTAAATTAAATTATAGATAAATAAAACATGAATAAATTACCCCCCTTGACGCAGATCCATCCAAGAAAATATAGTTTTTACAGTGTATAGTTTGCTTTTGCGAGGGCACTCCCATGCCCCATTCCCTGTTTACGTCTGAAAAGGCTATGAAAGCTTAAAAGGCCATGATACCCCATTAGGGCGAATTTAGCTTAATGTAAGACACCCTCTAAATGAAGGCCAACAGCATCTCCTTGGAGAAAGGCTGGGCCGATAAATGTTAAGGATTTCAATGTGCTTTTACATCATTATTTATGCCTCCCTTGATATGGAAAATAAGGCTTGCATAGAGAAAAAGCAATCTTTAAAGGCTATCTGCTTGGTCATGTGACCATTAACATAACACCGAAACATTCAACCTTTCAATTAAATGAAAACGGTTTTTGCCAAATTTCCTCACTGTCTTTTTTTTTTTTTTGCTTGGAAGATTGACCTTAAAATACACAAAAACACATGATCGAAGCACTCATTTGTTTCACGTACTCACCTATGAGTATCACATGGCAACAAAGTAAAAGACTAGAGGTCCTTAAACTGACCAGTAAAAAGGACTTGATTCTAAAATGACAACCCAAATTGTGTTTCGGTGACTTCTTTGAATAAGGAGCTGCCTCATCAGGGCTAGTGCTTGAGATCAACCTCAAGGACACTCAAGGAAGGGCCGCCAGGGCTTCACCAAGGAAAGGAAAGAGATAGCCAGTGTGGTAAGCAAAAATGTTCGAATGTCTTGGGTACCAGATAGAGTAGACTGGTGCACCCTAACTACAGTGGCCTAACTTTGAGAAAAGGAAACACCAAACACCCAACGCCATTTTGATAAACAGTATTTATTCTACAGATTCCACACAGTTTTAAATACGACCGAGGGGGTTAGGGTTAATCAACAATTTATCAACCTATTGATAGTCACACTGCCAAGGACATGGCAAGGAAACTGACATTATTGTATACTTGGTCGACAACCTTAAGTCGAATCCTTCTTATTTTACCCTTTGGATAAATTCCAAATTGTTCAGGTATATTTCAATGGTAAACTGTAGTCGTTAACATTGACTACTTAAATAGTTTTTCTTTATTTAAAAGCGAATGACATCATTACTATTATTATTGCTGTCCTTGGTGCACAAACATGGCAAGAATCATCATGTCGTCATTACTTCATGAAGCACAATTAATTAGGCATCTAGAATCTAGCGGGCAACGTGTTTGCACAATAAGCCAATATATATTATCACATTAAGGTGTCCACACTTACTGATCCAACCCTCAGAGAGAGCAGCATAATTTTTTTAAATATTATACCTTTCAATATAATGGTCCACCCTGAAGTCAGGGCTCCACCGCGTAGTCACTTCAATTAGAAGCCTGAAGCGTTTTGTTGATCTTTTTTCTTTTTTTCGCCTCACTTCACTTCAGGGAAATAATTTGTGAAGCCAGAAGGCCACAAGGAAATTACTGTTGAACCACACCAAGTTTGGCGCAAAAAGGGCCACTTAAGCTTAGATTTTTAAAGCAGCAACACACAAATTGTTCAAGTTATTCCAATCACTTGTTCAAACGGTGGAAAAAACGGCGTGCTTTATGTAGGTTTTCCTTAATTCGTAAATGATAAATAGAATCACATGTTAATTAATATCAGGACAAGCACCAACTGGCTCCGGTGGTGTTTGTCAGTATGGCAAGTGTGCCAAGGAATTCCAACCTGTTATGCCAAGTTTGGCAAGTCTTTCTGTTATGTTAACAACCTTGCCTTTTTCTGCCAAGTGTGGCAAGCCTTTGGCGAGTTTGTTCCTGTTTTTCTGCCAAGTGTGGCAAGTATCTCTTGTGACAAGTGTGCCTGATTTTCAGGCAAGTGTGACAAATAGGCCACCCTTGCAAGTGTGCAAGGAACATGTTCCAGAATTTCTGCCAAGTGTGGCAATAGATAGTGGTTTTGAAATCGGCAAAAACAAATAAACATGCCGCTCGAAATCTTTGCAAAAAAACAAAACATGGTTTCTGTGTGTGGTTTTTTGCCCTTGGTTGGAGAATAAAGTCCCGGATACGGTTTCTGACGTTCATGGGGAAACGATACCTGATACGCAGGTACTGACAGATGGTCGTAGATACAGATGTAGAAAATTGCTAGTTATTATAACTTCATAACTGTTTACGTACTATTGATTAATGAGGGGAAGTAGATGTATTATGTGGGAGTGTAGATGTCCGACCAGACAGCTAACCCCTGACATAAGTCAGTACTTGAAGAACCAATCTTATATTGCCTGCTTAACAACAAAGTTTGGGGCTTAAAGTTCAACATTGTTCAGGTAAACTCCAATGGTAAACTTCAGTCGTTAACGTTGCCTTTTTGATTTTAAAACGAATAACATCATACTATCCAATCGTATCATGACTAATTGGATAACCGAATGTCATCCAAGTGCACGTTTACCGTCGTATATTCACTCTCCGAATATTATCCTTACAAGCAATACCAGACTTCATCGCCATCTTAATCACTTAATCTTAATCACAGCTCTTTAACCACAATGCACAGATATGCGACTGTTTTGTAATAATATATGTTGACCTCTCTTTTTGGCAAAAATTACATGTTAAACACAACCTTCCCTGCACATTTTATCAATGTCTCTATGTTAAAGAAGAATCTAAAGGTGGCAAGAATCATCACGACATGTAATCACTTCACGAAGCACAATCAAGCATCTAGGTTCTAGCTGGCACTGTACTTGCACAAGAAGCCAACATATAATATTACATTAAGGTGTCCAGATTTACTGATCCCCCCAGCAGCATTATTTGTATTTATTATACCTTGCACAATGATGGTCAACCCAGAAGTCAGGGATCCACTGCTTAGTCTCTCTCTAATTGAAAACCCGCAGAGTTTTCTATTTATTGATTTATTTTTTTGTTATTTTGTTTTGTTTTGTTTCTTATTGCTTTACTTTTTTCTCACGTCATTCAGTTTCTGACCACACACAACAATGGGTAACGCCACACACGAAACCTCGAAAAATTCCAAACTACCATGGATCGAAGCAAATGACAAAATATACACCCAATTATGATTAACGATGCCGTCTAGAAAAACAGCTTTCTTGTCTCCAGATGTCATGCTTAGAAGCAGGCCATCTCAATTTCCTGAATTTCAAAGCTCGATTGCTAAACATGTTGATCATTTAAACAAAACTTGTGACAGGACAATGTACAGTCCTGGACACGGTTTCTCACGTTCATGAGGAAACAATACCTGATATGCATTGATGACAGATGGTCGTAGATACAGATGTAGAAAATAACTATTTGTGATCTGTTGATTACTAGGGGAAGTAAATGTGTTACACGGGAGTCCAAAAACCAGACAGCTAACTTCTGACATAAATCAGTACATGAAGAACCAATCTTATTGCCTGCTTAACAACAAAATTTGGGGCTTTAATCCACTTTAGAAAGGGGTGTAACAACCGCCCCCCCCCAAAAAAAAGCCATCAAGTATTTGTAAGCGATGAACAAAACTGATATTGAGCTAGCCCCCCTGTTCAAGTTTACCTATGTAATTCATTACGCTTTGAGCGGTTCCAAAACGTTATAGCAATTGGTGTGCATTCAGTGTTACACTAACATATTTGCTTTTCAAACTGGATACGAATTTTGCACACCGAAGAAAGATTTTAGAATTAAAAAAAATTCAGAGGGCAGCAACTGCAAATTTTATGTATGCACAACTGGTGTATTATTTTGATGCAAGTTCATGCCGCATGAGACAATGAAGCTATGAGTATTAGATCATGTCCTAATATTTTCGTATGCAGGGAGCTGGAGTAGGGTTGTTGACATTGCGTGTGAGTGTTCATGGCAGTGTATACGTAGCTATCCGTATCTCGGGAGAGAGGGTTTAAACCACACTTACTCCATGGGTTGGTGAAGCACTCTGAAAAATTAGCACAAGTAGTGGACAGCCCTTAAAACCCCTAGAATGGATAAATCAATATTTCTATATAACCAAAAAGGGTGACAGCGGTCCAAGTCTCATTTGGGTTAGTACAGTAAGAGAATCAACATGAGCATCTCTTGCTTTGGTAACACACTTTAAGCAAACTACGATAAAGACTTCCTACACAAAATGACGATAGAGTAGTGCCTACACTCATAATATCCGGATATTGCTAACGCCCTTGACAAATAAACTTTGGAAACCTCAACGCTAGAGTAGTTCGATTGTTTCCCCCTTTTTTTTCTATGCGCACAAAGGATTCATACCGACTCCTATTAAAGTATCTTCACTGAATTTATCGTGCTTGGATCAAGATTTCAAGATAAAGGACCCCATTTGTAACTGTGAGGTCTGTAAAATCATCTGGCCAAACTGCAGTCTATCCCTTTTTTAACGTCTAGGGAACAAATATAGTTAAAGTGGTATAAATAGGCACACAATTCAGTATACAAACCAAAGTTACACATATACGGGGCTACCCAATTGGACTACCCCCCCGTTACTTATGAGTAGAGTTGCACCAAATAAGCCATGCTTTGAGTAGGTCGGTATCATAGGATCGTAGCATGGACTACGTTCTCCACACTTGTAAACTAGACCAGTTTTAGCTTGTGCACTGCAGCAGTGGCTCTCTGTTGTGTTTCAAGTGGGGGCGCTTTTTATGCCATACTTACAAGTGGGGCGAACGTAGTCCTGGTACGACGCTATAATACCAACCTGCTTATAGCGTGGCGTATTTGGTGTGCAAGCCCTACTGACAAGCAGCGGTGGGTAGCTGGATCGGGTGAACGACGTCGCGGTGTAGGCACACGTTAATCAGGACAGGTCCGTCATCTTCCTATGCTTTGGTCCCGCATTAGCAACACTGCAGTGCATAAGGATACCTACGAACGGTGCAATAAACTTGTTATAAACACAGCACCTAAGCGAAGGTGCCTCAATTAACACTGTCGCCCCTACCCACCGTCACAGACTCTGACACAGTTGCTGTAACTGAAATAAAACAAAAGTCACATTAAAACTTATAAATGACTTGTGGCGCTATCAATTATTTTTCCTCTATATTTAGGCTTGCTTGAATGTGTATAATGGTCAGCTGTTCGTATAGACGCCAATGGTTGCTGCTGTGTTTTCTATTACAGTTGTTGATATCGTTTTTGCTGTTGTTTTGTTTCATTCCAAAGACTTACCCAATGTAGAAATCCCTGTTGACTCCACATTAACATTGATCGCCTCAACTCTTGACCTCTTAGACCGAAAGAATTGCCTCACCTGTAAAACATTTCGTCGTAAATTAGTTATAAAGGTACTTGGTTTGAACAAAAATTCGTAATTTAATCAGAGTCCTCGAAGAACCTAGGCCTTATTCGTTTACTTAATTCTTCATTTTCGTAGTTATGGTCGTCATGGCACATCCATTATTTTGTGTCTAGCGTACAACATTATTGAAATACAGAAAAGGTCGATGGGAAATAAAAAGGTCTTCCAACAACAATAATTTTCGTTTAGGTGCATAAATCTAATTTCACAATGCAGACCTACAGTATCTACACTTTTATTGATCGATTAACCTGATTTTCAGTTTTAATTAAGCTATATTCATAAATAGTTCAGACAGTTTCCCTTTTCAACAACGCTGAGCCAGACCGTGTCTTAACAATATTTGGTAATGCCTGCTGAGACTTGATTTTTAGTGCTAGGTAAACCAAAAAATAAAAAAAGTTCTGGCCCAGAATTTGAGCTAGGCAGCCTGTGCAAAGTCCATATATGGAGATTCTTCTGGCCCACTTCCACATGGAATATACCATAATATGAACAAGGATGTTTGGTAAAATGAAAGTATAATGACTTTTTTTGGTCTCTCTGATTAAAAAAAAAGTATTTATGAATAGAAATAAATAAGTGCTTTGAACTAAAGTTAAAGATCGACTGAGGAGAGTGAATGCTCCTTCGCTGGTCTTAAACTCGCGATAAATATTAGCCAAGCACATATTTATTCCCTTATTTAAAAGAGTATCTTACCGCCTTTTTAGGATATAATAATGAATATTTACATATTCATGAGTAAAACTGTGACGCCACCGCAGAGGGGAGCCCAAATGTCGCGTTACTTTTCGCGCAAACTGCTGATTTGTTTTACATTTTGCCGGCTTGGGTAGGCCTACTCACTTTTGTAGTGCTACGTTTAATACCGAATAATTATGTTAATAATTTGGCACGTAGCCCTTTAAATAAAATTATGAAAATTATACACTGGAAGATAAAAATGACATTGCAAATTACCAGCACTCTCGATTGACCAGGAAACACGAGCATTGTTTATATTTCAAAATTGCATTTGTCAGGAATAACAATTAAGGAAATATGATTTTTATAGGTCGAAAAAGAGTACAAGTTGCAGATTGGTTTTCGCAGAAAACGTATCGCTATCGGCCTTTTAATATACGAGAAGACTTACGTCTTTGTCAAAGAGGCACTGCGAAATGAATACAAAGACGCCCTGTGTAAAAGAAAACAAATGAATTTGACTGTTGTACATTTCAATGAGAAGTATAACAGCATTTTGCTTAGCACTGTCTTTAAGGTCGAATGTATTTCAGATAATCCTGGACTATGTCTCAAAGGAAGCAGCACAAGTTTGAATAATGAATTTCTACAAAGACAGTTTTTGGCGATGTCCTTGTTACTCACTGTCATACCTGTAGACTGTTTACTATCGCAGAGGCATAGGCAAATCCAATAGTGCTCCCGTCAATGTAGAATAAGCCCAGAATCCACGGCAAGCCAAGAAGAGGTTCAAGAACAATCAACATCCGCAAACCAGCTCTACCAATAGCAGATATTTAATTCAATCATTACTTTAAAAGGAGTCGTTTGGAAAGGTGGGGCCTATTCCTCGTTTGAAATACATCAGTTTATAGCTGACCTTCCCCTTTGTTACTGTGCATTCATTGCCAGTCATTTGCATGAATTACATCCAGCAGCTTGTATCCGGCCATTCAAGTAGGGGGATCCTTGCTTTTATATCATGGTGTGTTTATTAGGATTTTGGTGCTAATAGTTGATTAACAAATATAAACTTTTTGAGAGATCAGCTTGTTTTGTGTAGTTTATATCCTGTAAAATAAACGCAGTTTGCTGGAATCTTTTAAATGAAAAGCGTTTTTACTTGACTTTTTCCGCCTCCGATTTTTTCTTGTTGCTCCTCAGAGAGAAAAAGACAAAGATGAGCCGAATCAAAATAACGCTGTTTCCCTGTTCAAATAATAAAAAAAAAGATTGGCTTCAAATGTTCAGTAATATTTACGCCAAGCCACTACAGACGTCTTGCAGAACTGCGACATTTTTGCAAACTCGTTCTTGGACGACCGCGTGTAATCTATATGATGAAAAAAGTCTTGGGAGCTAGTCTCTGATTGTCTTGAGTTAATTCAATTATTCTGTTTTTGGTCCTTGAGGATGGGTCGGTCAGGGGAACGGAGGCTAAAAATATACGAACTTTTTCCCATGAATGTTTTCCTCTTTTTTCTATTTTTTTTTCATTATCTCAGAGCCAAAATTAAGGGCAAGTGGAAAGGGAAAACCATTGATATCACTAGGGGTGACCTGTTAGGGAATTAAAGTAGTTTTACAACAAAGGTTTGCCTGCGCCCTTGTTGCATAAAAATCCCGCCAAATGTATCTATTCACAGTTTCTGCAGCTTTGTTACTTTGTTGGCATTATTTTCAATCAAAGACAGGTGCTCAGCTAGAAGGTATAAAGTAGTAGGTTTCAAATGCCAAGGAGATTTATAATCAAAATAAGGTCACTGAACACGGGTGTCGTTAGACTGTTTTGAATGGGGGTGCCATATAAAATTTGCTGACAGATCGTCGCGCAAAAGAAGTGTACTGTAGTATGATTCCCTAGACCAGTACCATATTTTCTTTTTTATTGCAACGGTACATAATGGTTTTGCCGACAAAACTAATAAAGCAAAACAGAGTCTGTCCAAATGGGATTAACCAAGCAAACAAATAATTTTGAAACACAAAAATGCCCTTCCTCAGGAAACTAACTGCAATAAGATAGTAGGAGTGAGGAGCATGTTATCTTCTGTAATGATCGAAATATCTACATTATCCACATACTGAGCCATTTATGTAAGTGCTAGGGAATTTTTTCTATGCATTCAAACGGAATTTTAATAGAGATGTAAATATTCCTGAGCAATTTCTAACTGACTGGTTTATTTTATACTACCCTAGGAATCTATAGCGTATATTTTGAGGAGTTTCTACTCACGATAAGGACAAACAGTACTGGCGCTAGAAAAGCCCAGACGAAGCCACCATCAAATGAAAGCCAGCAGCTGAAGTTAAATAATGACAAGAAAATACAAATTACACCGCAATTTGTTCCTATCCAATGCCGTCCTCGTGTCTGGAATAACTTATAGTGCAGTATTTCGTCTTTTCAGTAAACGACATTCAGCTGTCATACGATTGTCATGCTGTATATCCTCCGTAGTCTCCTTTGATTTTCTTGCATTAGTAAATATTCGTGAAACCTGGTAACCTTTATGTTGTTTCGTCTTTCAGGGTTTTTTTCATTGATTTATTTGGAAAAGGGCCTAACACAGTCGGAGATCCTGCGTAACATTTTCTGCAATGGATGAATTTCTGAAGACACTCTCAATAACAAACACTGATTTCGTGTTGAAACATAATAGTTGAATGGCTTTAAATTCTCTCTAATTTTTAGCACCTACTAATAACTTTTCGTAGCAAAAATAACATACCTCTTTGCACGACCATAGCTTTGCATACGCACAGCCATCGAAGTTCCTACTATTCCTACGGGGCATCCTGGTCCAAACAGAAGAACAAAGTAACTCTGTTATTTATTATTCAGGAGTAACATCCCAACCCTCCGGAGCTTGGAGGGTTAGGGCTTTTTAAATATTGTTTTAATCATATGGTATAAAAGCTGACACAGCAGGGGCAAACCGGCTATAGGCCTAGTTGCCAGATTGAGGCTTTTGCAGTAGCACGCAAAGAGCGGATTGAATTGTGTATGTTGAGTTTTGTTTGTCTCAGCGTTCCCTTACGTAACTAGACGATAACCACAAGGGTTTTGCTGGGATTTCACCTCAACAAGTCAACAGGGAAGGTTGAGTGGGCCTAGTCTTGACTTTCTCTCATTTCTGACTCTTCTCAGAGCAAAACGTTCCCCTAATATTTCTAATCACGAATAGGTTTGTTTTAGCAGACATGTTTCTCTGCCTGAATAATAATGCTTCAGCAAATAAAAATGGAGAATCGGTATAGGGCTATGATAAGTTTGTGTGCAACTGGCATTTGATTTTTCTGCTTGTATTTTCTCTTTGAACCAATTTAACATAAATGCTTCACATACCCCAACCAATCAGAAGCCACCCTGGAAGTCGGATCTTCCATTGGAATGTGGGGGTAGATTTGATGTATAGAAACACGCCCTCTAGAGCCATCCAGGTGAAAGCTGCTAGCAGGAAGTAATGAAGCAAGATGGCAACCGCCTTACACGCAGTCTGAAAAGAAGAATGGCACATTTTCCTTAAAAAGTATAACGAATAAAGCATGTTTTATGCAGAATAAGCTTGGGGCCTTTTTCGTTCTTAATACCAACCCCCTGTTTTTCAAAATTCAACCACTGAAAGAACCAAAGTAATTGAAACCAGCTGGGTATCCAAATGCCACCTAATTCTGATTCTTAATCTGCATCTTTCTTTATGGCTTTATCCATAGTAGGCAGGTTACTTGTTTAGTTAAACATGTATCATGAACGAGTGCCCTGAAACGTGGAAAAGGACGTTTAATAGATAGACATAGATATACATGAATTACAACGGTGCGATATGCATCCCGTTAAGGTCAATCACTGAGTTGTTGATGTTGGTGGTGACAGGGTGCTTGATGTTGGTTTGAGTGTGAGTATTTATCCGAAACCATTACTCTGCTGATTTTAACGGGGCTTTCAAAACAAAATGTTTAAATATAAAGTTTGTCAGTGCCCTTCAGCCTCATCAAAGGGCACGTGGTGGACACAAAAAGGGGGAAAAATGGAGGCCGGCTTACTTGGCTTGTTAACTATATGATACAAAAAAATTGACATCGTTTGTTTTCAGTGGACAACACTGAGTCTGCTAAAATGCTGGATAAGGCAAAGAATATTAAATTAACACCAGTTTATCAAAACTGTTTTGCAGTGGACTAGGTAAAAAAAGTAATTGTTTTTTTTTAGAATGACCGTGGCTCCAAACCTTCAGGTACTTTTTCTTTTTGTTTCTGTTTTTCCTAGTTGTAAAATGTCAATTATAAAAAAATGTTATCTAATACGCTGCCCAGGTGTGCAGCCTGGCAGTCTCCTTTATTCAAGGAAAAAATGCTTGTTTTAAAGTTTTAAAAGAGTTATCGACTTATACCTAACCTATTATCCTTATACGATAATGCCTTATGATTTTACGTTTATATTCTAGATCTTAGTTTTTGCTGGAAAAGCCCTTTTTCTGGTAAAGCTAATCAAATCAGACAGGTTGAATCGGTTAAACTACACAAATACATGGAAGATCCCGGGTAAACTGTCTGTTTTCTTGTTGTTTGTTTCTGTATGTTGTTTAAGCTCTTCAGTACAAGCTTCTACTTATCTGGCCGTCACATGACGTGAAGGAGGAAATATTAATAGCCTAAATGGATGATGATGGAACCATCATTAACCATTTATTAATATTTCCTCCTTCACTATAATGTACTCTATTATTTTAAGGTTTCAAAGTATTTCATCTACTTTGATGGCAGTATGGAAATAAATGTGAAATTGAATTGAATCGGAATGGAATGTCACCTGACGTCACAGCTGACGTCTATCTATTTGATCTAGTTAGATTCTTACCGGGTTTTCAGTGCCAATGAACAAAAAAGTGATGTGAGATATCATAAGAGCTACTGCCAGATTAGCGTGTGTTACGATGCGGGTACTGGTCAAGCTGGAAAAATCAAAAGAAATTAAAAACACGAAAGCATTTAGGTAATTTATGTCAAATGTACAATGTTCATTAGGGTGTCCATGTGTTCTGAGGTTTGCATTACCATTACATTTAGATTTAAGTGGCTTAATGATCTGTTTTTCCTACAAAATCTCTGAGTATTGATCAACTTCAAAACAGATGTGTAATACATAGCCCCCTATCAGCACCAGAGGAAATTTCCCTTCATCTCGGCAATGTCAGTATAAACATGTGACCACTGACCTTGAAGCAAATGGCCTCCCTGATTATCCTCTTTTAAGGGCGTAATTGTCTTCCTTACTTGGACAGGTAAAGAGATGGAAACAAGCTGCATTACCTGGGACTTGTGTTAATGCATTCATCAACTTTTGATGGCTGAAAATTGCAATATATTTTCTTGCATGTGGTGTTTTAGAGTGCCGCAACTATGGCTAGTGACGTGATATTCACTTAGCCGCAACGCATTCTGAAAAAACAAATCCAAATCAGCGCCAACCAAGGTGTTCTCTTTTGCGGTAATGACTAGAAGGCTGGCTTGTAAATTGGAAACCTTCATTTCAGATGCATTTACTAATAAAGAACAAATCAACTGTTGGATGATATATGCAAGGTTTAACAAAGGCTTTCATAGAGTACCGAAGTGGATACGTCAGGCGCACAGTTATGGGCAGAGATCGTATAGCACTGCGTCGTGACGTAAGATGGAGGACTCTGCTAAAAAGTTGTAATCACCATGAGCACCACTCTCGTTTGTGCATAGGCGCGGGAAAACCGTGTATTCAGTGGTACTTGTAGATGTTTTGTGATAGGACCCTTCTTCGTGTTTTGGCTTTTCTTAATAACTTACCGACAAAATGCGTAGACAAACAATGTAACCGAGAGGCAGACAATGGACAACCCAAGACCAATCCGTGTGATGAGGTTTAAAAGGGAAGTGTCGGTGTAAGGGGTGACCTATAGAAGGAATCAAGACGGACACTTTGTAAACTACTTATAGGGCTGACATAATATATATTGCACTATTGTCATTCAAAATTTATTTAATATCTTATATTTTATATTTTTGTTGTTGTTCCAATGACCGCATATGGATCAGCAGGTCGTAGGACCATAGTGATAGTCGCTTTTGCTAGTAATTACCATTGTGGTCATTCTGTTCGTCCTTTGACAATATTGTCCGTGCTTGTAACAAATTTCATCGTTTGGGCCAAATGAAATAATAATCATAGTAACTAATGGTATAATGGAAAAATCCAGGCGATATTACAATACACTAAGAACATACTTTAGGTTAGTAATGCCAAAATTCCATCCACATAAGCCTCACCTCCTCCACTTGAAGTAAGATAGCAAAGTGTGTTAGGTGATTGCAGCTACACATGACGTCGTTGCCTATTATACCTTCAACATGGCAGCCATACGTTAGCCAGTCCCTACAAGGGCCAAAGAGTTCAAACAGAACATCAACATCAACAGTGGTACGCCAGTTGTTCTGGCTCATTAATTAAACAGAGGTAAAATAAAACCCACGGATTTTGCAGTGTAAAATTGATAGAAACATGGAGAGGTGACAAAGATGGGGCTTGAACATCTGGCCAATCATCCGCTTTCTGTCATGCCCGGTATGCCCAGAGCCAAAGCGCAGCGAATGCTTGCTACGCACCTCCTGTTTCACAACCATAAGCCCCCTTTGTACCCCACGATCATTGCTGCAATTTTTCGCTGGCAATCTGCATCCTTAAAACGTTGTGCACTGCAGTATTGAAAGTTGAATATTCATGCCATCGATGGTGCTTGGTATGATCTGACAACATCAAATTGAATGCTTGAGCAGTTGCTTGAAGGTTGTGTCCCGTAAGTGTTCATGTGCAGTTACTGCCCTTATCAAACGCTCTCTTTTGGACTTATTTTGGGAATAAATATCGGAGTTGTGTATAAGATCTTGTGTTTTATTTAAATCATTTTTATTACTGAATTTACACGAAAAGGTATCGTATGAGATTTCAAGATCACTTCTTGGGATGAAAAAGCGCATTTTCTTTTTCGTGAACTTAATTGTCCTGCGCTGGTCAACATGTCGTTGGCCAGTCTTAGCCAAATTTGTGAAAAAAAAACTGATGTTTTAGAGTGACAAAATAAAATTACAAAAATTGCATGAATAACGGAAAATTGCATCAAAATATCTTTACAAAAATTTCACAACGGCAAAAGTAAATCTAATGCTAGATATTTCCTTTCTATTTCTTTCTACAAGTTGCAGTACACTGCAAAGAAACTCCACAAATACTGCTAGGATATTACTGGCCCCACTTGTCCGGCTAAGCTGCAGGCAGTAATCAAGGCATTTTTGGAATGTTTGCTACTGTATGTCTGACCGTGAGGCGATGATCATTGTTGTAACTCCTTCTGTGTCCTTTCTTCATGCTAGAAAGTTCATTCAAATGTGTTATAATGACGACTCTTGACAAACTCAGCATAATCAAAAAGCACTCCGTCACCTTTGTCGAACACAAACAGAAAACATTGATGGAATCATTGCATACAATTAGACATTCTCCCACGTTTTAAATAATGTTTTAAATAAAATAGTAACATATCTTACTCGTCTTCGTCGGACCGAAAAGAGCAAATAGGAATTTCCATGTCTTGAATCTGTAAAATAAATCAGGCCATGATAAATCAGTTGTTTCAGCGAATAAGCATGAAGACTTAATCATGACGTCTTGTTGGAAGAGCTTGCAATGAATAGACCACTCCATTTTAATATGTTTTTGTTTAATTCTTCTCTTTGATAAGACTGCCGACATGCAAGACTGTCAAAATCGACGAAAAGGGTTGTGGTATACGATTCAGGAAACTTACTAGGGCCCTATAATCAGACCTTGTATTTTTTGCGTTAATTTGCAAACCCATGAAATCTGCATTTACAGCCTACCTCTAAAACAGGAAATGTAAGTTTGACAGGCTCATCTTCAAATTCTGTGAACACATTTCCCTGTATGTCGATTATATCTAAACCAACAACCAGACTTCCAAATCGAATCGGTTGATCAGACGGGCTACTGACATTCAACTGCGAATCGTTGTTCGGCAATTTAAACACCGTCACTACCACAATTACTGTAGAGAACAAAAACATTTTGTGAACCAAAATACGTGATGTATCTTAGCAGGGAGGCTAGATCCCAGAAATAAATCAAAAGCAGATGTTACATCTCAAAGACTGCACAGGGGTTGGGAGAGACTGGAAGGTTTGCATCGAGTCCCATTGCCTGAATCTCAAGGTCAGTACCTCAGGTGGCTTTTATTTACTGGCATTATAAAGGAACTCAGATGGGATTTCAAATTTAACCATCTACTCACAGGTGACATTCTCTGCTGTTTGGAGACCGGGGATATTTGCGACATACACTTGGCCGTCCACCTCAGCAGTTACTTCCTGGTACTCGCCTTCCTCCACGGTCAAAGGAACAGTTGTTATAACTTTTGAGAGAAACAGAAAGCATACAGACTGGTTACTTGCCAGTGACCACAGCTTGAAAGGTGTATCAGGATACACTTGTACCAATCCGATTTCACCTGTCTATTGTGGGTACTTTGTTATCACAAGTAATGCAAATGTTTTGCACTTTCGTCTGAGAAAATGCTTAAACCCCGCTCTCTCCAATCGTATTACCTATATGTCTTATATCGTCTGTCAACTGTCGAAATGGATGGTGCCAGACTATTTACGTGATTGAAAGCGTAATAAACATCAGTTAATCTCTGTTTATTATTGTGGCTTGGGGCACTTTTGAACACACGTCATTAATCTGTAGAGTGGCTTTAATTTGAATAAAGTGTTGTTCAATTGCTTTTAAGTCAATTTACAACAATGACTTTTTTCTCTTTGTAAATTCAATATGGCTGACTGGTAAATAAAGTATGTAGTTCAGAGGTATCTGGAATTGGCATGAAGTCTGTAATGATCTGAACAATTTCAATCCGAGGCACATTTTGCTGGATTTAACTTACCTTTGTCTTCCTTTGCATATATTCTTCTACCGCCACAGATATCGTTTTTGTTATCTATGTTGTTGAAGATTTCAATAGGTATGCCTTTGTCCTGTACGGCTGCATCTTGGAGGGCTGGTCGTGTGGCATCTTCACCAAGTAACATTTGAGGTTCGTCAACAACCTCTGAAAAGAGAAAATACAAAAGAGGTACGGTATTAGAAACGAAAATGTACATTGAAGTTGCAGACAAAGGAAGAAAACTATGATTTAACCATCCTTTGCAAATTCATAATTTTCCCCCAAAGGTCATTCAACTTCATATTTGAAGCGATTAATTGATTTTTATTCTGTTGCGTTCAGATCGGGTCATCTTCCATGATATTTGACACATGGCAACAAACTTTTGATATTAACTCTTGATAATCTGCTGGCTTTTGTTCCCTTGTAATATAGCACTTGCATTTTTCATTTGCCGAACAATAATTTTTGCAGTTGCTTTAACGACTTTACAAGCTCGAGTGCTAACAGTTGTTTTCATGAAATGTCAGTAGAGCCAACCTGCAATGGTAAAGGTAGCAAACTTGGTTGTTGAGGTCCCTCGAGTAGACGCTGAACATTCAATAACGGAGCCAGCATAACCTCGTTCCCGGTAAGAAGAAATCGTCAAAGAGGACGTCAGGACGCACGACGACACGCTGTGATTATAGATACGCAAGCTGTCAGAGTCGTTACCGCCGTGTAAGACTTTCCAAAGGTCACACTTTGGTTGGTAGACGCGCCAGGCTATGGCAGGACCAGTGATTGCACTGGCTGTGCAGTTCAGATGGATACTCTGTGCGTTATTTGTGGTAGGGACACTCACCAAACTGCGAAGTCGGAGACTCCAATCTTCAGACAGGGAGGCAAGAGGACCATTTAGCATTACCTCATGTTTCTGAATTTACATTTTATTCTGTGGTGCTATTTTGGATAATAATTTAAATCAATCCTTGATATACATTTGTAAGAAGCTTGAAACTCGTCCTACGATTTGGCATTTGATTGTTAAAATTCCAAGCCCGTTATCTACCCTGAGCTCTACATGCAACATCAAACTCTCCCCATGTGTGTATTTAGACTCACCTATGGATCCACACGAGAACAGGTTTTGAATGTCATCTTGTCCCAGAATTCCATCTGCCAAAATAAGGTTACTTATGGACAACGATATGTCCTTGATATAGTAATACTGAGGCGCAATTAGTAAATGATTTCTGCCAGTCTGGTATCTATACTTAGAAAATTTATTCAAGGTGTTATGGTCCACTGGTAGAGATGGAACTCGTAAGCCGTTGACATAAACTGCAACGGCTTCAACGATGAGCTTCGAGAAATTGAACGTACACGCCACTTGGAACCAAGTCGATATGGGAACGATGGCGGTCACGTTAACGCTCACCGATAACTCTGTGTTGTTATCTCGAACAGAGCATACTATATGGTCATCGTATATGTACCACAGAATAAAACTGTATTCATATTCCTCATGTCCAGAATGAATAATAGTGATTCCCCTCTGACGCTTTTTTCGCTTGTCACACAATTTTAGCCAGACTGACCACGTAACACCATCTGACGTGCAGCTGCTTGGATCTGACACGCAGGTGTCGCTAAAATCACCGATATCAATGTAAGAATAGACAGGGTCACTGATGCAATGGCCTATTTGAAGTGCACAGGAATCTTCCACAACATCTGGAGCTGGTACCATATTCCAAACGTCATAGCTTCCCCATATGGATGGAAACAACATTCCACCATTGAATGTGGCAGTGGAGCAGCTATTTCCTCCTCTGATTTCCACCGTTCCATTATCTCCAAGAGACCACTGGTACACCATAGGTGGAGCTGTGATACATTAACCAAAACAAAGTGAAAGATTGGATTCGTGGATTAACACTGTAATGTGACTGTCATAGGAGGAGATACCAGAGTGCATTTTTTCCTTATCAACACAGGGTCGTTTGGTAGGAACTGAACTCAGTTGCATGGTTCACAAACGACCGTAGTACGAAACGCTACCAAGAAAGTGGTGTCTCTCCACTGACATGGCTCTTTTCAACTGCACTCTAAAAATCAATGCTCAACATTGAGTACGATTACTACACTTTGAATAGTAAGAAGGGAACATGGTCGCCAGCTTGTGCAAAATTATTGCACAACATGAAAATATTTAAAAAGTGCCCTTTTCTGATTAAATGTTGCACAGTGCCTGCGTTGAAGCTTTTTACGTGGCATTATTGGGTAAAACGTTTACTCCAAAACAACCATGTTCCCTTTTTACTCAATAACTGGGCAATTTTTACACAATGCAGATTTTACCCATGTGTTGAGTAACTTTTTTACCCAGAAATTGTGTTGTATTTATTACTCATTACTTATGTGTCAAAAAGTTTAATCAATTATTGTGCAACTTTGAAAAATAAATAAATTGCTGCATAGATTTTTGTTTTTCTGTTTTATTTGGGCAATATCAGTCAAAACAATAACTTCTCACAAAATACCAAAAACGGGCTTCTGTCTTGAAACTAAATTTGATTCATTCAAAGATATGAAGTTTCATCAGCAGCCATCTTTCTTAAACACGCCAAACATTTCAATCAGATCAGTAAACAGTTACTTCAATTTAAAATACTGAACGATTTTTACAAATTTACAGAGAATGGTTTTCCGGCATTCTTAACACAGATAGTTTTAGTGCAATGTTTACCTTTCAACTTCAAATTGCATGAAGCAAAATCTAAAACTAAAACATATTTTGAACTACGTTATGAACAAACAAATTAAAAAACACAAAAGTTCAAAACATTTAAGAGTGGCAAGATCCTTCCAACAATAAAAAGATAGGTATCTTAGTTATGAACGGTTTTGGCTACATTTTCTGTACCCTTCAGATTTTCGCCAGCAAATTTTTCATTATTACCTGTTATTGAGTTTTCACAACAAATTAATTGTGGTAACACTTCCTTTCGACCATTTTGAACATTTTTTTTTCATTTTCCCCCATAATGCTTCGGATTTCCATTACAACATTTGAAGTTCCAAATCAATAATGTTACCATTATTTTGAACGATTTTGACCAAATTCCAAATTTGCTTTGGATCTTCATTACGAATTAAAAGTGGCAGAGACATTATGATCTTGTCACTTTGAATGACTGGCCATTTTCTTTTTGCCTGGTCTGATGTACATAACAGATTTTAAAGTGAGCCTGAGGCAGAACCAAACTTTATTTTTTTCTAACTGATTTCAATCAATTTCATCTAATTGAATCGAGGTTTATTAATGAGATAAAGACTGGTGGTTTTAACGAGGGATCCCATAGCCATGCTTTTAATTTAGGCTTGGAGAAATGATAAAATGCCCGAAAAGCTTTGACTGCCCCTGCCTCATGAGAGACAGGCACTTCAAACACAACACTGTCTATGAACTGCCATGAGGCATTTGCCTGGGTGGTATATTTCAAGTCTAGGACCTGGTGAGTTTTGTAGCACAGATCCCCCGCACTGAGGAGACTCTCACACTCAACGGGCTGCTTTTCCAAAATCACAAAGCACTGTGCTGGTTGAACTGTGTTTCCCCCAAGGGCCAAGATGAATGGTTATGTCTTCCTGGTGTCCATGGTATCTATGTAGTTGGTGATACTGACACCTTCCTGAAACAACAAACAATAGAACACAAATTACAGTTGGCAAAATATGTGTTGTTTCAAATGATAATTTCACTGAAATCAAATTGTGCACATTATAAAGAAGGGTGAGTCACTTTTTACAAACTCCTCAGCATGGACAGAATTAAGAGGACATGCTGCACTAGTTTACTCAGCAATTCCCTGGTATCAGTAATGATTCTGTGGACAGTTGAAGATGGTAATGATGACTCCTTTAAACGGTTGATGAATTCTGATGAATCTTCCTTTGCTTGATGGACCAGGGGTTCTGCAGGCTCATTGGTTTCAACATCACTATCGAATGGTTCAGGCTCATCTACTGAGTGTTCAATTTCTCCTCTACTTTCATTACGGAATGCAGCAGTCAAAATGAAGATCACCATGAGCACTCTCCAAACGTTTTTAGCCACTATAATACACATTTGTCCACCTTGCCTGACCACAAACTGTTTTTGTTTTAGTTTTGGTGGTTATGTCATTTACTTTCAAGTGCTTCCACAGTAACTTAGAAGAGTTCACATCCTACAGACACTTAAAACATGAGTAAACCATAATGATAACTGACTCCAACACTCACACTTGCCACACGTTGATTGAAACGCTGCAAAAACTTTAAACGTTGGTTTGGAATCAGATACTTGATGGCATCTCTATCTATAAGCTCAAAGGCATCACCATCAATACCATTATCTATTGGGAAAAAGAAACAGAATAATTCAATCGAAACTTCAGCTGTCCTTCATATGAAAAGGGCTGTAATTTTAGATCCCCCAACAAAAATTACAACTGTACAACCTATGTGTAACAATAAGTATGCATGCCTAGTCCTACATGCATTTCTTCACAAAGGGCATAAAAACAGATTTGTGAATTGCATTTTGAATTTGTTTGCGTAAATATAATATAAGAAACAAATAATAAATGTAAGAATGCACATGATTTGAGTGCAAATATAACAATAGTATGACACCCTGCCTCTGTTTTGACACTGATGGAAGATCAGACGGACACAACAGTTCAAAAGTTCGGAAAGATTTCCATGTACAAAGTTCACTTATTTGTTCCCATAATGATTTGTCAGCCGCCAGAAAGCAATCACATGGAATTCTCTCCCAAAACAGAACGAATTGGGTTTTGCAAAATGAACAGTTTATGACATCCATGACCCTGGGATTATTCCTGAAGCCCGTTCCCCTTCCCCATTATTTGTTCCAACTTGAATGACCGACTGTTCCAGGGCAGTATGGTACTGTGGTAGGCCTAGTGTAGTGGTAGGCCTAATGGTGGCAATCCGATGCGCATATTTAGCGCACATGGAATTGTGTGGCCGCATACTCGTTAATTTGTCAACTTTGAACCAGGCTACATGTAATTAAATCTGTACATTTGTAGAAAGGATTCAAATATATTTTTTTTAGAAGTCCAATTTTTAAACTTACCAACAAATATAGGAATCAAATCCCCTAACCCCCCAGTCCTCGAGAATACTTCTAACGCCATCCATGTTCATGTCACCCGTAGCGCTGGTGTGCGCGTGTAAAAGCAATGCAAGATGATAGAAAGTGAAGAACTTTCCACGTGCGTCTTCTTACTACCTAGCTTGGTCATTTTTTAATTCTTCCCTGTTTTTACGCTTCTTGTGTTCAGTTGAGTACGTCCCGGAGTTCACTCTGGTCATATGCTGAGCATTAACTACCCATCAACTGTGAGTTTAAACGTTGTTACCTACTGTTGGGTAGTTATTAACTGTTCTTACTGTGTACACATTGTGACACAAGCGGGAAGTAACAAGATAATTCTCGTTTTAATCAAATTTGAGCAAAAATTACACAATTTCCTTACCCAACAAATTTACCCAACAAAAAATTACTCGTATTTTTTAGGGTGTGATGAGGGGGTGCTTTTGTTAAAATGCGTCTTTCCGTGTGCTCGTCAACACTTCCGCAAAGCTTTTGCGTATCGGTCAAAATCGCTCCTAGGTGCTATTTTTTCAGTACTACACGTTTGCTAAGGCCCCACAGAGTTGGGCATAAAATGGTCAAACGTGATGCATGAAGGTTAAAGGTCACAAGTTACAAAACTGGCACCTGTGTAAGTATATATGTGTGTGCTTTTTGGTCACGATTGCGCAGAGGTATTTTTGACTTTGACCCTTGATTGTTTCACATACTTGTTCAATCGATCCACTATGCCTGACTTTCATTTTAGCAGTAGAACGAGAAGATCATATGTATTCGTTTTTGTTGCGTTGTTTAAGTTGCGCCGAACTCTCCTCTAGGAAGAAATAATATTCTGAGCACTGAGCAATTTCTTTGTAATCTCCTTTGGTGATTTACTGTCTTCATTGAAAAAAAGGATATCAATTTTGTACCGTGACCAGTTTCTGTCACACAAATTTTGGTGACAAAATTCCTTTTGAGATTGCCTGTGCAACCAATGGTGATTCAAGCATAGTTTTGACAGTGACTTAAATGGTTGCATTCACTCACAAACAAATCTATAAGAAATATGTGAGAATGTTGTCGTTTATTTACACAAAATATTGTTACAACATGGTTAAAAATTGCAGTTGAATTTAGATGAAAAACGAATTCTCCATATGCACGCTTTTTGCCCCTCCTACCATGGGAAATTGCATAATACTAACAATCAATCTCAAGAGAATAATAGCTTGGGTATTTGCTATTCCATTTTTTTCCCAGGAGGGAATCAATCTGGAATAGTTTCTAGACAAGAAGCCAGCCGTTTTTACTTCTTATAGGGGGAACTTCCAAAAAAATGGGCAGGCCTTCCTGGTCACTGAGCGGAGAAGCAAAGTTATGACATTTTGCATTTCAGGCGGAAGAAAACAAATACCCTAAATATGAACTGCGATATTTATATCATAAGTCGCAACCCTAGTGGTTCCTATACAGTTGAAAGAAGGTGGAAACATGCCGCAGGGATGCATTTGACAACGTGGTGAGCTTTCATGCCGTGACATTTATGGACGATGACAGAAAGGACGACGAATCCTCCCATATTTTTGTGTGTTTTATATTTCCCTCTGGACCAGCTAAATTCTGTCAGTTTTTTGTGCGTATTCTTTGGAGAATTTTTACCAGTTAGTAATTCTGTTTATTGTTACGAGAGACGTTTTGGGGTGTAAAGACGTAACCAGACGTCCATTGTCATTGAAATATCCGAACAATCACTTAAATTATCGAAATTTAAGTCCTCGATGACAATGGTTTTCGTCTGAAGGCGGCAGGGCAACATGCGGAAACTGTTACAGACACGCATGCGCAGTACCCACGCTCCTTTGCAAATGCAACTCCGAGCATTCCTTGTAGCCCATAAGTGGCGTGGAATTTGTTTTGTCCTTGCAGCACGTGCAGTGCTGGTAGTGGCCATCACTGAGGCTTTTCGTCTCTGTGTGTGCTGACTACTTGTGTTTAATAGATCTGTGCTCAGATATTGAGTAATACATGACGCAACCGTGTTGCATAGCGTTTTACCCGCAAACGACCACCTTCCCTTTTTATCACCACAAAGGGTAAGATTTTACGCAACGTTGGGTTTTTATTTTTTTGGTGTGAAGTCTATGTACAAAATAAGCGATACAGCAAAATTGTTTCCCTAAGTTATGAATATTTCACCAGTTCATCACTCAATGATGGTCAACAAACCAACTGAAAACATCATTACAAGCCCTGGGTGGGTGAGTTTGAACTCATCAAATGGAAAAACCTTTTTCCGTAATAATAGAATGCTTTTTTCTGCAAGTGATGTGGATAAACACATTAACGTTACCTGCCATTGCGACACACAAGGGTTCTTAACTTAAAACTATTGGGTCTTTAACTTGGCATCTTATCCAACAATAACCTTGTATTAAGCCAACAAAGGAGTACATTGCAAGCTGAGAGAAAATTTCACATAATCAATATATGCCGACTAATAAAATAGACAAAAATTTTTGCTTGCTGAACACAAATTCTTCTGACCCAAACCAGTCAAAAACACTACCGTTGAAGTCACTTCAACCAAGCATTTAGCTAAGCTGTAAAACCCGAAAACAGAAATATCAATTTGGAAGCGCTGTCCAACATTTATCGTCATGCTATACCAATTATCATCATCCTATACCAATTACTTTTACCCGATATATATAAAGTGCACAAATCCCTGTCTGACATCATAAGCTGTTAAGTTTTATTCCTACAGTGTTTCCTTTTGCTAGTAAATAAAAACAAAAATGAAAAACCTCTGTATTGTCAACCTGTGGAATTTTTGAATTGCCTTAGTACTAGGAGTTCTAAAGAGCTATACTCCCTTTACAGCGCATTTACACTCAAAATGCAATGAGCTCGGTTGAAGAAAAACCCTGCTTAATTTTAATGGCTGCTTACAATGCATCATGGATAATTCATGAAGGCTCACGCATGTTAACCGTAAGATCCATTAAAAGATCATGGACACGATAATGGAAGTGGCTATTTGTGCATACAAAATTATGCGTGTATTTGTTTATGACGTTTGGTGCTGGCCGGTTCTTTATTTTCTCAAAAGTTTTATGTTTTTTCTCTTCATTGTATCCAGCAGCGAGCGCAAGTTGCTTCTCTGACAAGGTTCTTGTATTCCCTTATTAATAGTAGTTTTCTCCAGCTATATTCCTTTTACAAAGCAACTACATACAAAATGCAATTAGCTCGTAAAGGCGGCTTATCGTTTAGTGACATTGCCAATTTCTGGGAAGCCATAACGATGTCAGAGAGGCCGCTTGCGCTCGCTGGTAAATTCAATGAGGAGGAAAAACGTAACGTTTTTTGAGAAAAGGTATAAAAAATGCAACATTTAGTGTGCTGAAGTGACCACTTCCATCATTGTGTCCATGATGCTTTAATAGATCTTAAGTTAACATGACTGAGCCATCAATAAATTATCCATGATGCATTGTAAGTTAGCTTAACTTTAATGCCAGCTTGCTTACAATGCATCATGTTTTTCAGTGGCGAGGAAAGCCATTATTGAAATAATTGCACTTAATAAAAATAGAAAGTAATTTTACTAGTTGACGTATGTTGGTAGTGAGTTGGGAGGGGCAAAATGGGTATTCTGGGGTTGAAACGATCGTCCATTGATGACAAATTGTGACAATCTTTACATACCCGAATTTCCCATTTTAGTAGTTCTTAAGAGCTGTACCCTCTTTACAACGCAGCTACATTCAAAACAGAATGAGCTCGGTTGAAAAAAAAAACTTCCTTAATGCATCATGGATAATTCATGAGGGTTCAGTCATGTTTACCGTAAGAACCATTAAAATATCATGGACACGATAATGGAAGTGCTTATTTGAGTGTACTAAATGTTGCGTTAATTTTTTTATGCCTTTGGTGCAGGACAGTTTCTTTATTTTATGAAAAATAGTGTTATATTTTTAACGTTCATGGTATCCAGCAGCGAGCCCAAGTAGCCTCTCTGATATTATTCTTGTTTTCTAGGAATTGACAGCGTCCCCAATGAATGTTGAAACCGCCTTTCCGTTGCGAAGTCAAACATTGTATCACAAATTATTGAAAATTTGAGACCTTCTTGATTTGGGACCCAAATTTGTTCAATTTGTAGGTCAGCCAAATTTGTTCAAACAAATCCAATTCGTTTTTATTAATATTAATAACTGAATCCTTTTGCACAGCTATCATACAGTGACTTTTTGACGATGCAATGTTCGTTGCTTGTCAAATGTTTTAGTAAGTGGAAAAGGTTAACATGTTCCAAGATGACTCCGACAGCCACGATCGATTTTTGTAGGAGTATATGTGTATGTGTTGCGTTTGGCAATTAAGCTGTCATTGCACTGATGAACTCGTTTTCTTTAGTAACAATACAAGCATGAACAACAATGAAATAATAATGACATTAACCCATGTACAATTTTATGTAAATTCGTTTTTATGAAAAGTAACATTGTTTTTACATATTCAACGACTTACTTTCGCGAGCGCCGTAGAGTTGAAGCATCCACGCTATCCATGTCACAGAAATGAGAAACGCTAACACAAGATACATGGTGAAACACCAAGCGACAGTCTTCTCCTTAGACCAGCTTGGCCTCCGAGCTGCCAATCCACGGTACCAGTATGGAACAGCAACGGCAAACTCTCACGCACATATACTGTTCTTGTAAAATGACTCACCGTTATGTTGCTTTTCAGGGCTACAATCAGCAGCAGAACGTAATAGGCAATTACCCGTTTCTATCGGCTCAAAGCCCGTCACGTGGATGGTTTTCATTACTGACAAATTACCAAAAGGTTTGAAACACTTGGCAGGTTTCCAAAGAAGTTTGGTGCAGAAGAATTGGTGTTGTCCGACAGGCATGCGCAGAAACACAAATAAGTCTGGATTTCAGAGTCAGCTGAACTTTACATCTGCATTGCTGTACGTAGTCCATTTTATCACAATGCGCGATGCGAGCTTTAAGAGTTGCCCCAAGGGCTGTTTAAAAAAATCATGAGCTAAATCAGTGCTCCAAGAGCTCATGCCCAAAGTAAAGGAACAGCGATAAGTGTGAGTGAGAGAGACAGATTTAGCTTCGCCATTTTGTCTCCGTATCCTCCATGAGAAGCAGAAAAAAAGTCTGCAGTACTACGGAGTCTTACATAGGACAAAACTGGAGAAAATGGCCTGCTATTCACCTAGGCGGATACGATTGTGGCAGCCTACATTTAGGTTCACGTTTCATGCTTTATTACTTAATACTAACGCATTTATCACTACAGTACCGTTTGGAAGTGTATTTAGGACATGAATGAATAAAAAAAAATCGCCCGGGTGGAATAGTATTTCGTCCTGACATATTTCGCCCGGTTGGATTAGTACCTTGCCCTGGCTGATTAGTTATTTAGCCCAGGCGGATTAAAGATCGCCCACGAGAAATACTAATTCACCTGGGCGATTTTATTCTTATTCATTCATGTCCTAAATACACTCCCAAACGGTACTGTAGTAATAAACGCGTCAGTAGTGAGTAATAGAACATGAAATTTGACCCTGATGGTGCGCTGCCAAAGTGAGAAATAAAATGCAAAGACTTTTTAATTTGTAATTATTTGTAGTTCATTTACGGCTTCAGAAATTACCTCCGAATGGCTTTTGCCAAATATTAAAGAGTGTATTTATAAAACTTAAAAACTGCCTGGACTGAAAGAGAAATATCGCGCAAAAAACGTAGCTCTAACGTTAATGGCGACTATTGCAAATTTAGTGTTCTTGCTCACATATGACAAGTTAAAGATATTAATTCATGATACAATAGTGATGCATGTAGAAGATCGAAACAAATTTCAACAATTTGAGAGTTAAAAAATAATCATTTCAGTGGCACAATTGTCATGTAGGAATTCTTAAGTATTATGTGGTCTTTGCTGAAACAACATTACAGCATCGAGCCAGCTCAACTGAGTTTTCAACCCATCAACCATAAGAAGGCAACCTTCCCGACATTAGCTATTCTCTTTCTAACAAGTGCATTTAGTGAAAATAAATGTGCAGGAATAAGAGGAGGCCTGTAAACGACAATACATTACGTGTATGAAACAATATATGGGATGAAGAGCTCGCCCAACATTGTTTTGGTCATTAATTGCTTGGAATGTCAGGAATTTTTTACAGGCACCTTGGGGGATGTGTTTGGTAACAATACTCCTACGTGTGTAAAGGGGTTGGACATGTAAGGGGGGAACCCTCCATCCCATATCTTGTTTGGTAAGTGAAGGGTCGTTAATACGTGGAATTAGCTATTGATCGATCCTTTGAGGAACACAGCAAATTCAGGTGAGCTTTTTACTTTACTCAGTTACAGTTTACATGTCACAGTCACGCACTGTTGGTAGTTCAGGAGTGGTAAAGAGTTATGATTTCCTAAATGAAAAGTAATGCCAGATATCACAGACATAAAAAATTAGTTTAAGCTTGCCCACGAATCAGGTATGACTATTTAATAATTTATAAACTTCAATAGTATGACGAGTCTTCTGCTTTGGGAACTGAATAAATGTTTTTTTAAATGTTGTAATTTGGCAAAGGCAACAATGATTAAAGTGTCATCTTAGAAACAGGGAATCTAGTTGTTTAATAGCTCCTATTTTGCCGGGGGGTTTTCTTCTTCTTCTTGTCTTTTTTTTCTTTTCTTTAAAAGAATTTTTTTTAATTCACACATGACAAGCAGCAAACAGAGGAATCGTATACGAAACTGCGTCCACTTAGCTGCATATTCACACAGACAGCCGGTACCATATGTCTATATTATAGAAAGCGTGTTGTCCATTTCTAATAGATACGAGGTCTTCCGTAAGGCAGGAGATTTAACTCTCAAATGATATCAACAATGCTTGTCCAAGGACAGATCACTCACTTTTGCTTTGCCTATAGTTGCCTGTCACGAATGGGTATTGAATGATTGCTTCAATTACCGAGAAAATAAATGTAATGTCAGCATGTAGTATCATGTTGTATTGGTAGAATTATATTGCGGTGCAGGCACTGAAAAATTTACACCCAACGAGCAGAAACTGCTGCTCCGTTGAGTAAAAAGGAAACTGTTAATTGTGCTACGCTTATTTATTTCATGTTTGCATGAAGCCATTTTTGTTGTTATGGAAACGTTAATGGCTTTAAACAAATAACCAGTATTGCCGACTATACACAAATTTTATGACTTATTTAGCTACTGCAAGATTATTAACATAGAAATTAACATTGTTTCTGTTACTATTATAATATAATATTTTTTATGTTATTGTTAGTTTATTAACTCAATGCCCAGTTTGAAATAGAGACTATTTGTAGAAATCATGGTATCCACTCAGGCTACTGGAATTCGGTCAGAAACGAGAATTCATTAAAAAGAGGGGATGCATAATATTTCTGGGCAAGTTTATTTATACTGAGACATCTTTCATCATCACTGGTGATAAAAAGTCTCCAAAACGACATAAAAGTTAGGCATAAGTGATTTGACCGGTTTCATCATAGCAACAATTGTCTAGTGCACAGACAAAACTTCTTTCATTTTCTGCAAGTTTAGAACTTCAGTCTTCATTTAAATTGACTGATCAATAAGTCGTAATTTCAGTTTTATTCTACCATTGACGAATTAGACGTGTTCGAAGTCTACCTTAGGAATTTTTGTGTTTGGGTTAGTGCGTCCAATCTGGTGCCAACAATTTGCTACAAATCATGAAAACATTCCACAAATTATCAGAACAAATTTCTGAAATAAAAAGGTGGTATAAAAGGTGGAAAACAGACAGTAGGTCTAGCCTACGTAAGTCTGCAAGGACATGTTTATGCACACCCAACAAGTTGATCCCCTCCTCTTATCCTGTTTTGTTGAGTAGGCCTAAACTTCTAAATCAACTTTAACACCCTGGCTTAGGTAGATTTTTAAGCTCGAATCTATCTTTTAAACAAGTTATGCCCGAGTGCAGACAATCTGTCTACGACAATACCAATAATTAGCACCACTAGTACCTCCATATTTTTGTGGGTTGGCGTTTCTTTCTTGCTTCGCCTTTGCCGCGCTCAATTTGACGGATGCTACCCTTGGAGACCACAAAGCAATCCTTGACAGGTTCTGGTTGCCAAGGCTCTGAAAAGCAACGTTTAATAACATGATGATTACCTGTCAGATTTCAAGCAGCTACATGTTTACTTATGAGTTACAAACGCACAAGGTCATGTTTTGTAATGAGCTTGCGATAGCACAAACCAGCATGATTCGATATTTGGTAGATTTACAGACAGACATTATGTGGTACCACACTGTTAGCAAGACTGAAACAAACGTCCTTTAGGGAAGCGCCCCGGTAGTTTCAAACTACCACATTTTCGTAATTTTAGAATAACTTTTTAATTTTCGTTGGGTTAAGCCGTGGAGGATGGACACACTTCCTCCGTGGTTAAGGTGAAATTTCTTGTAATCCTCAAGCTACCAGTGTGCTTCAAGACTGCCAAGTCCCATTAACCTACTACCATAGGTTTGTAGCTCTATGCTACTACCAACCACTGCAGAGTACGGACTGTTGAAAGATCAGTATCCGCTAGGGGCACATATGCATTGCTATCAGAAACTGGATCTCATTATTTACAGACATGTGCTGATTGGTCACGGCTATTTGGGTGAGTATACTGTAGCGTGTCCTACGGATCAGGGTTCGACGCTAGTATAGATTCACACATAGCCAAAACTCGCTGTTCTGGTCACGAAATCTCTGTTTTATTGCTGTAGCGTCCACAACAATGTGTTTTTCAGACAAGCTCTAAACATGGCGCCCCTCGGCAGGGACTGCGCAGGCGCGAGGCGGGAAAACCGCAGACCGTTTGCATACCAGCGGGGGCAGCCAGCCAACTCCATGCGGGTCCGAACTGGCGCCCCCACCGGCCGGACCCGCCTGCGCTACAATACTGTTCTTCCACAGGAGCATAATAAACCTGAGGGATGTTTTGGCAGCCATAAAACAGTCGTACAGGTTCATCGGTGCCGGGAACTGACCTGGTAGTTAAAAAATCCTCGCTGCAGAGTGTTATATTGTGGGTGTGGCTGCTCGTGGCGCTTAAAATCATAAATTAGTACGTTTCTAAGGCCAAGGGTATAAGTCATGTTTCTGCTCAAATGATTCCTTTTGTTGGCACGGCAATAGCGCGTCGTTTAGCGTGATTTGGTTCGGCAAATTGAATTCGGCACTACAAGCCACTTAGCTCGACAGGGTATGCCGAGCCATCGCCATTATGTTGCGCTATAGTTGTTCTAAATGAAAGTGGCTCGACGCTGCTCTGTGGAAGTTCGACGTTTGGCATAGTTGCCACGCTGTCGCCGCGATATTGCCACACTCATTTCAATTAAGTGCGGCACAAAGTGGCACGGTGCTTAGCCTTGGCCTAATACTAATATAACGGATCATACATCTAAGGCAACTGGGTTTGGCTGAGGGGGCGGGGCAACATGTCATCAGGGGGTGTTAACTCGCGCTTGTAGGGCCAATAATGTTCTTACTTTTTCATTTTGGCGACAAAATGAAATGAGTTCTAACATTTCAGCCATGGTGATATGCCTGTTCAACGTATCCTCAACAGGTCCTGAAGTTGATAAAAAGGCCGCAATTTGAAAACAAACATCAACACACAGCAACAACCTCTTTGAAGGTCACATAAGGGCTTATGTACTTTAATCAAGGCCCGTACTTGACGGGTCAGTTATTATGCAGTTATTATTCTGAAAAGAGCTTTGAAAAAAAAACAACAGGCAAACCAAACTGAAAATTAACAGCAGTAAAAAGGCGGTTAAACATCTAGAATGGTTTGGTTACATGGAAATCAAACTGGACCGTTCGTTTTTAGAAAATAATATCGTATTGCCACTAGCCCACGCAAAACATGTATACCCCACTCCAAACAAAGCACAGGCCAAGGGATTAATTAAATAAGAACCATCCTTCGCATTTCAAGTCAAATATGAACGGATAAATAACTACGATTTTTACAAATTGCACATTTCTTCGGTGTCAGTTAAATCTTATAACATAATATTGTAATTATTATTATCATTAAAACTTTCAAATCTGGCCTCCCGTGAGAAGAGAGGTAAGATTCAATTAAATTTACTGTCGCCTTTTGCTCCTCATATAAAAAGAGATGTCCAATCTCCAAGATATTTAGTGACTGAGAAGAAGGAATGTATTTAGGAGCCTAATAACTTAAAAATACTAATAAACCTAATACAACATAAAAATACTAATATTCCGTACCTATTGTGCAAAACGGTAGTTTTTGTTTTAGGTTGTCCGAAAAAGTCGAATATAATAATAAATTTATTCAACATTCCTAAGCGTCTGGTGCAGAGTACATCCAACTGCAGACCGGTATCCTCTTCCTTTGGTGTATTTAATCTTGCTTGTACGTTTTTACATGTATTACATATAAGTGGTACGTAAGTTTGTCAATCAGCAAACATTGAGTGAAGGACATTATAAATTCTAAGTAAAAATGACATAAAATTGCATCGGTAGAGGTGGAAACCATTGTTGTTCTTTGGTTTCCCATTTACAAAAATTTCACAGAATAGGACTAACGCCCACCCTTGTCTGAAGTTATAAACAGACTTGCACCACTCCAATAAGTAACAAATACAGTGCAATTTGCCAACCACAATTAGACGCCATTACTGCGATGGCAAAACGCTCATGGACAGGTGGTACGCGCGCTGTAGATGCCTCTTCAACCACTAGGGTGTCATGATTTGCCAAATGCACGCGCGCGTCAAGCTGAGGAATTTGCGTGTGAGTGCGGTGCCCCCGCAGTTACGACGTTAAATTTGATAAGGCTATGGGCCCCGAGCTGGACCAAGAGAGGGCGCTTTTTCAGAGGTGCCTTTCGTGTCCCGTACGTAGTCTCGAGACTACGTCTCATAGATGACCTCCGAACGTAAGGACCGGTAGTGGGTAATATTTCTGGAAGAGTCCTGCCGAGTGTATGTAAAATTTAATGTGGAAATGATGTCCGCTCAGTGCACAAATCAAGTAAGAGCTGGCATATTTGGCTTCTTCTTCATTACCAAAAAACTTCACCATAAATTGTTCATTTATCTAAAACTTAACACAATAACCACTGATTTGACATAAATCGCCGTAACAGAATTTATCAATTAGACAAGTGTTCTTCTTAACTAATTTTCAAAGCGGTTCTCACAGTATTGCATTTTTTCGGCTCTTGTTGGGCTTCAGTTCTACCCTGCGTGGATTACAATCTCAAAGTCCAAGTGGCATGCGGCCACTGGCCAAAGAACAGTACCAGGCAAACTGCGTGGGCAGCCTCGTTCGATGCGTCCACCGAAACAGGGCCTTCGACTTCGGCACTGCCGGGCCCGTCTGCGATGCTGGCCGTACCAATTGTTGGGAAAATTCCTACTTCTTCGAGGCTTGGTGAGTCCAGTGTTCCCTTCCCTGTAAATCCCCTATGTATATCCCCTTCGCCTGTTCCAGTTACTCCCGTTTCGGGCAATCTACTAAGTACGACCCAAGCTTCAGTGGCCACGACTTCGGTTTCTTTGTCTTTTAGTCCCGCTCCTTCTATCGCCTCACGTGACCACACTACTTTGACTAGCGTTTTCGAGAATCTTGGAATGGGGGTATACAGGGCAAATTCAGGGGTAAAAAAAAATGGAACGGGGAGTTTGTCGAGTTTGGGTCCCTTTTACGACCAGTCCGTACTGCGTATCCAAGTGACTGCGTGTGCGTGTTCATGATCAGCTCGCCCGAGTTTCCGACGCGGTACGTTCGACCCCATGCTCCGGCAGTTCGCATTACGTCCATAGAACAGTGGACATCAACATTTCTAGTTTTTGCCTCACTTTATCTGATGCGGCATCCAGGCCGTGCGCAAAAGTTGCTTAAGTACGCCGACACCATTCGCTCCGTAGCATTTCGTCGGCCAGGTTTTGGTTGGCGCGATTATTATAGTCAGTTTTGCCAGCGGCAAGCACGCATGCCTGAGCGTTCATTGGCAAGCATCAATGCCGAGCTGTGGATCACGCTGGCAGGTGCCCCCGTGGCTGCACCGTACAGTTTTCAAACCTTTGCTAACAGATCAACAGTGTGGCCTTGTCACAGGTAGTGACCAAGCCAACATCGGCATCTGTTTTGACTTCAACCGCGGGTACTGCTCTCGACTCGCTTGCCGCTTTGCCCACACTTTGCCAGTCGCGTCTTGACGAGGTAGCCCCGAACCACTCGGGGTACAGCCAACCCTATCGCTACCAATACATATCACCAGTATGCTTCCCTTTCTCAGCACCTACCTTAACCGACAACTTGCTCAGGAAGTGATTGATGGTTTTCCTTTCGGATTTCGTTTGGTTACTCTGGACCACGAGTTGGTACTGACCCGTAATTTTCGATCAGTTCGCGACAATCACGCGTTGTTACAGGAAAAAAATCGATGGTGAAATTCGTTTGGGCCTAATTGCTGGTCCTTATTCTATTACTCCTTTACCAAACTTGCGCTTTTCTCTTGTAGGTCTGGTACCCAAACAACCACGAAGTCAATTTCGCATGATTCGCAATCTCTCTTCCCCATAGACGACTCGGTAAACGAACACATTGATCCTGCTCTAACTGCCGATAGTTGCACTAGTTTGGATGAAGCAGTCACTTTGGTTTCTAGTATCGGTCCCGGTGCAGTCATGGCCAAATCTGACATAACGTCAGCATTTCGCTTGCTACCGGTTCATCCAGATGACTATAATCTACATGGGTTCCAATTTAATAGATCATATTACAATGATAAATGTATGCCCATGGGCTGTTCCATATCGTGCGTAACGTTTGAGCGGTTAAGCACATTCCTTGAATATCATGGGCGCTGAGTGGCAGCTATACAGACAACATCATACATTAACTAATATAAAAAGTGCAGGACAGGCCACGTGCTCTTTACCGCATTTTAGGTATTTGCCAATCACATCGATCCACGCAGTGATCAACGCCAGCTAAGCCGTCGAGCTGTGTTCGATGTGAAACAAGTGAGGCTTCAGAAGTGGTGGAATCTCACACTACGACCGTACTTCAAGGCTCAACGTACCGAGAGATACCTTTTCGTTGCCAGAATGGGCTTCCAGTGGTTGCTGTCTGTTTTTCTTCTGGTTGGACTGGCCTCCAACTTTGCTGCAGGATGCTGTCTGAGTCACTGCCTGAAGTGTCCTCCGCTGTGGACCCTCTACGATGGCCACTGCTACCGTTTCTTCGGGATTCGGAAGACATTCCATGAAGCTGAGAGCCACTGCCAGCAGTTTACTGAGGGAGGGGAGGGCCATCTTGTTTCCATTGCCTGTGAAGAGGAAGATGACCTGATGTTTGAGATGTGGGAGTCCTTAACAATGTCACCGACCGCCACCTCAGACTTGAACTCCGTATGGCTCGGCCTGACTGACGCGTCAAACGAGGGGCAGTTCGTTTGGATCGACCGGGCCACCGTCTCTTACACTGACTGGGGGGACGACGAACCGAACGACTGGGGCAACGGTGAAGACTGCACCACGTTGCGCTTTCACGCCACTAAGGGTCGATTTTGGAATGACAAACCCTGCTCGACAGAGTTGCCATACATCTGTAAGATGACTGCCACCAGTTAAATTATGTGCCTAGGTATGGACGACAACATGTGCTGCGACGATTGGACTGTCTAAGAAATAAAAGATTGATACTCTTGTGCAGTTTCATTTCAAGACTTATGTTAACCAATGTCGGTTTCAAGTAGTGCTCCGCAAGTTAAACAGACTTTTAAAATCGAGGGTGTTTTCTGGTTACGGGCTTGTCAACATGTTTAGAATTCTTCAAATTTTACATTTGTTATTTCAAGTTTGTCTTAATATTCTAAGAACTATGGGGAACGAACACATAATTAGCTAATCCCTCTGCTCTTGAGAAAGGCAGCTCTATGCGCTCTAATGAAAAGGAAATAACGAACACTGACTAAGGATTGTCTTTAAATTGCGACAGCCCCCATAGAAATATTTTTCAGAATCTTGGTTATCACACTGTAAAGCGTACGTACTTCAATCAGGTAATCAACCTGTTATCAAGTAAAAGAAACTGGCACTTGGATTAGTTCTCTTTTCAAATTTGTTTTTAATCCGTTGAAGTATACGAGTGCTGGTTGAAGATTTGGACCCATATTTATGGTAATATAATGATAATATCAGATTTAAAGTCTTGCAACCAGCAAAAGATTATCCTGTGTATCCATTTAAAAGTAGCAATTCAATTGATCTAAAATGCTAGGGTAAAGTACAAAACCACATTCTCAAAGAATCATCTTTAAACTAACCTCAGGGCAATAGGGAATTATCCATTTTCCTGAAACAGTCATTTATCGCTGATCAAATCAAACAGTAATTAGATTCACTTCTTTTTAGTCTCATCTGCTTGGTGTATATCCCGGTTTGTTTCACATTAGAAGATTTTTAACTAATATCCGATTTCATAATACTAGATTAAAATATTCATAATATTAATGGTAATCATGCTAATATTCGCATTGTGTTTGTTTTTCTTTTCAAAAGAATAAAATCTGCAAATACCGGTGCAATTGGAGAAGACTGAGGGGATAAATATTAAGGATTTTAATATTCTTTTCCAGCATTATTCACGACAATGGCTCCCTCGACAAGAAAATCCAGGAAAAATTACAGAAAAAGCAGTCACTATAAGCATCTGCTTGGTCATGTGATTAACATAAGACCAAAACAATCTACCTGTCAATTAAAAGAGAATGTGTTAAGCAAATTTATCAATATTTTTTGATTGGAAGTACGCCCATGACTCCAAATGCACAAAACACATTATCGAGGCACCAAGTTGTTTTACGAGTGATCCTTGTACTCACCTATGAGTATCACATGGTAAAAGAGTAAAAAAAAATAGAGGTTCTTAAGATCGGGGCTAACCAGTAAAGAGGACTTTATTCTAAAAAGACAACCCAGATTGTGTTTCGGTAACGTTTTGTATAAGGAGCTTTCTCATTAGGGCCAGGGCTGGAGACCAATCTGTAGGACACTCAAGGAAGGGCCAAAGCTTCACCAAGGAAAGGGGAGACCAGTGTGGTAACTTTAAATGATCTGAGGTCCTGGGCGCTATATAGATTAGACTGGCGCACTTTAACTACGGTGGCCAACTGTGAGAGGAGAAAACACCAAACAACGCCACGCATGAAATCTTGAAAAATTCCAAATGACCATGGATCGAAGCAAATGGAAAAAAATAGATGCAAGTATCATTAACGATACGTTCAAGAAAAACACGTTTCTTGTCTCTCCAGATGTCATGCTTAGAACCAGGCCATCTCGACTTCCATATCCTAAATTTCAGTGCCAAATTACTTAACTTTATTGATACCCTAAACATGTTTACCGTTTAAACAATATACAGTCCTGGATACGGTTTCTAACATTCATGAGGAAAAGGATATCTGATATGCAGGTACTGACAGATGGTGGTAGATACAGAGGTAGAAAATTACTAGTAATTTATAACTTCATGGCTGTTTCTGTCCTATTGATAAATGAGGGGAAGTAGATGTGTTACACGGGAGTCCAAATGTCCAACCAGAAAGCTAACTTCTGACATAAATCAGTACTTGAAGAACCAATCTTTTTGCCTGCTTAACAACAAAATTTGGGGTTGGAATCCACTTTAGAAAGGGGTGTAACAATCCCTCCCCCCCCAAAAAAGCCATCAAGTTTTTTTTAAGCGCTGAACAAAATTAGTAAGGGCCTAACTCCGCCCACTGTTCAAGGAGACCTATGCAATTCATCACTATGAATAAATTATCTTGGGCAAGCTGACACACTTTAAAATATTCCAATTAAGACGTTTTAGCAATTAGGCGTGTTTTCAATGTTACACAATCTTTTTTGCTTTTCAAAACTGGAGACGAATTTTGCACACCAAAGAAAGATTTTAGAATAAAAGAATAAATTCAGAAGGGAGCAACTGCAAATTCCATGTATTCGTAAGTGCTGTGTTATTTTTATGAAAGTCCATGCTGCATTAAACTATGAAGCTATGAGTATTAGGTTATATCCTAATATTTATGTATGCAGGGAGCTGGAGTAGGGTTGTTGACATTGCGTGTGAGTGTTCATGGCAGTGTATACGTAGCTATCCGTATCTCGGGAGAGAGGGTTTAAAGCACACTTACTCCATGGGTTGGTGAAGCACTCTGAAAAATTAGCACAAGTAGTGGACAGCCCTTAAAACCCCTAGAATGGATAAATCAATATTTCTATATAACCAAAAAGGGTGACAGTGGTCCAAGTCTCGTTTGAGTTAGTACAGTAAGAGAATCAACATGAGCATCTCTTGCTTTGGTAACACACTTTAAGCAAACTACGATGCAGACTGCCCATACAAAATGACGATAGAGTAGTGCCTCCACTCATCATATCCGGATATTGGTAACGCCCTTGACAACTAAAGTTTAGAAACCTCAGTGCTGGAGTGGTTCGATTGTTTGTTTGTTGGGTTTGTTTGTTGGGTTTGTTTGTTGGGTTTGTTTGTTGGGTTTGTTTGTTGGGTTTGTTTGTTAGGTTTGTTTGTTGGGTTTGTTTGTTGGGTTGGTTTGGGTTGGGTTGGGGGGGGTGGGTNGTTGGTCGGGTTGGTCGGGTTGGTCGGGGCTGGGCTGGGCTGGGTTGGGTTGGGTTGGGTTGGGTTGGGTGGTTGGTTGGTTTGTTTGTTGGGTTGTTTTTTACGCGCACAAAGGATTCGTACTGACTCTGCACTAAATCATCATCACTGAATTCATGGTGATTGTAAGGTCGGTAAAATCATCTGGAAAAAATGCAATCCATTTTGTTTTTACTGTTTAGGGAAATATATAGTTAAACTACTCTAAGCAGGCGCACAATTCATTATACAAACCAATGTTACACATATATAAAGCGGTGTGGGCACCGTTAATCAGGACAGGTTTGTCATCTTCCTACTGCAGTGCCAAAGGATACCTACGAACGGTGCAAGCAAATTGTCATAAATACAGCCTCGAAGCGAAGGTGCCTCAATCAACACTGTCGCCTCTACGCACCGTCACAGACTCTGGCACGGCTGCTGCATCTGAAATAAAACAAAAGTCAAAAAAGTAAACATGTAAATGATTTGTGGCTGTATCAATTTGTTTCCCTTTTAGGCTTGCTTTTCAATGTGTGTATTTTACAGGTATGATCAACTGTTTGTATAGCCGTTGATGATTGTTGTTGTATATTCTGTTACGGTTACTTATGTCGTTTCTGCTGTTATTTATTTCATTTTAAAGACTTACTCAATGTTGAAATTCCTGTTGAGTCCACATTAATGTTGATCGCCTGAACTCTTGACCTCTTTGACCGAAATGACTGTCTCACCTGTAAAACATTTCGTCGTAAATTAAAATAGGTACCTGGTTTGAAGAAAATTGGGTAATTTAACCTGAGTTTATTTAAAGAACATAGTCCGTTTTTAATTATTCAGTTTCGCAGTTATTGTCGCAGTGGCACTTTCATTATTTTGTGTTTTCCCTGCGGCATTGTTTAAATACAGAAGGGATTAATGGGTAATGAAGTCTTTGAAATACAACAATTTTTGTTGATTTTCAATTTTAACTATGCTACATTCATAAACAGTTCAGACAGTTTCCCTAGTCACCAACGCGTATTGTTACCGTGCCGTAATATTATTTTGGTAATGCCCGCTGTTTAAAAAGGGGCTCTCGCACCCGGAGAAGAGACAGATTGATCCATTGTTATTGGTCAACAATCTTCGTGCACGCACAAAGCACAATTTGCGTTACAAATCCTTACATGGGGATTCTTTTTGACAACTTCAACAAGGAATGTACCAAAAATGGACAGGGATTTTCGGAAAAATAAACACATAATTCTGGAACCAATTCGTTGGAAATCTATCATACCTTTGCGTACCCGCAAATCTCCTTGTTGGAATTCTAGCGCCACCTAGGTTTACTCGTTCTCGTACCTTGATTTCGGAGGGTTGCTTATTTTATTTACTTTATTTTTAACCCCTATGCGTTTTCTCTGCACAGTTTGGCATGTCGAACATCCCTTCCACGTGGCTACGTGGCTGGTAATGCTCCCCGGAATGCTAATCACGTATGTTCGGTCCCCATAGACTGTGCATGCGTTTAGTTGTGTATTCGCGCACGCGCAATAGTGACATAAAGGCCGTCGGCCTGAAAAAAATATTCTAACAGACGACGTCTATCGGTGGTGCCCCAGTTTGGCGATTGTTTTGCCATTTCCCTTGAAGACCTCCTGTGTGAATAAAAGATTGCCGGAAAAATCAAAGAAAGTGGGGTACAAGTTGGCTTACTGCATTGCACGAATACGTACAATCACGTCAAATTGCCCGACTATCTGACACAAACAAAAACGTTCCGTTTTCATCCATACAGTTTCCTTCTTGCATGATACTTTCTCATTAGAGTGTTCATGATATTCCTCACTATTCACAAGGAGAGAAATGTCAGGGAAAACCCGGCAAAACTGAAAAAAAAATCCCTTCTAAAATGTAGGTTTCACTTCAAACTTCTGACTCTGTTTAAAGTCTGTTACTTTGGACCTTCGTAAAAGACGGACAAAAATTCGTTAGAAAAGAGTTTTTTCGTGTGCAAGTTATCAAAAGAGACTTTGAGTGTTTAAATACTAATCGGTATGGAAATAAGGGGCAAGCAACTTTTTCAGAGCTTGCTGTTGATCGATTATTTACTTTTGGGGTCCACCTGTCCGAGTCAAGAGTCAGTTCACAGACTTTAAGCTATAGTAGGATTCAGTACGAACTAAGTGAGGGGCATGAACATACGTGTAACATCATGAAATCTTAGGCTTTGTATTTGTCAGTCATTCACCAAAGATGACTGGGTTAGCACTTTTACGCACGCGGCTAAACACTTTGTACAGGTGACTTTTTATTATCTGTTTCAAATTTTTACGTACGACATAGATTTTTGCACACGACTCTAGCAGTAAGTCAGGTGACCCTTTGAGATGGAAAATTTCCATTGGTAGAGCTCTTCATCGACGCTCATATTTTATTAATTCCTAAGCCTCTAGAATCCTATAAAAATGCAAATTTTCCCTAGCTTGTCTGTCAGGTGTGGCAGACCAAACCCTTGATGTTGGAGAGAAACCTTACGTAGTGCAGCAGTGCCACGAGTGTGCGGTTATTCTGAGAACCGTTTCTTATGACAAAGCAATGTGACCAAAGAAAGCCCTGCTAGTTTAGCTTGGACCGATGCATGAGCGATGCTAACTAGCCCAGGGAGCTAGTGACGGTTTCAGCATTGCAGCGGCCCGTCACCGCTACCTCCAAACGGATTGCCGGGTGAGACACGCCATGTCCCTCGCCACCCTTGTCCTGCTACCCCGGTCCTCCCCGTGTCTTAGCTGAGCCAATGTGTGACGACTCAATCTTTGCGCTCCTCACTTGGCGTTCCGAGAGGCAGTTCGGTCGGTGCAAAACACCGCTGACCTGTCCAGCCATTGCTAGTCACCATGGTGGCAGCCTAGTTGTGCAATGCTATACCCCTTCACCGCACCCACTCCGTCTG